AAGTAGGCGTAACCAATCCCACGGTTACACTGCCACACATCTACTTGATGTGCACGTTGTTGGGTGTCCATCCCCATTCCTCGACCTTTCTCCCAAGTCATAAATTCGGCAAAGCTCTACAAAATAAACAAAATGACATATCTTACTATCTTATCAATTTTGAACTCCATTGGTTCCTGCAAACTACGTGCTCCCTCCTGCAGAGCACCGTGAAGTGGCTGTGCTGAATCTGGTGGCTGACTCGCGATGCTCAAACTCCCGCAAAAAGAGTTCTTCTTGCATCAAGTGCCGTACCTTCCACAAAGGTTCTAAAATTGCACAACCCTTCTAGAATATTCTTTGGGATGCCAATAGAGAATATGTTGAGAATCGAATTTTATTTTTGGTCCATTTTGGCCCATTTAATTGGTGCTGATGTTAGTTTATACTCCTCCGAGGACAAAGAAAGAAATTCTATTCTCAACATTCTCTCAAGAATCAAATTTAAGCGGTAGTCTCTCTACCATTCTAGACGTCAGCTGGCATGGTTGACTGCATAACCTGGTCGGACAAGACACTTTGTCCGGTACCCTTCATTGTCATGGCAGTGCTATGCGTGGGAAGTTATGTCGGAGTCGAATTTTTGGCTGGGCGTTGCCCATCCCCAGGAGCAGTGGGCGCGGGCAACCGCGGCTCGAAAAGCGTAACCGGTCACGTGTCGCGCCCACAGCCAAGTCGACGACTCCAGCGCGCGATCTGGCGTCCCACCTCGTCTCGCGCGTTCTGGACAGACATTTCACCAAGTATCAGACGTGTACAACAAACTGCATGCTACAGTCTACTCCTGGCAATACGACAACACCAAGATCCAAGCATTCAGACGTCTAGCACCATGTCCAATTCCGGGTCCAAGGTTTCCTCTGTCATGGGCTGGCCATCAAACTCGAAATCCGCGCGCTCTTCATTCTTCTCGCCTTGCGGATCCTGCAGATCATGGCTTCCTTGACGCCGCTGAGCTTCTGAACGGGCTAGGTAGCGCTCTACGGCTGAAACCAAAGCTGTCAGCTTCTCCGCCCGGCGCCGGAGAAGCTTCTTCATCGGGATCTGCGGGTCAGTCTGACGGAAGAACTCCAGTTGTAGGTCGATATTTCTGCACAAGAGCAGCCGCTCGTTGCTCTGCGCTTGTTGGAGGAACTCGAGGTCAAGAATAGGCTTGATGGTACGAAGTCTGTCCGATTTCTCCTGTTCTTTCGCCCGCGCCTGTTCTGCCTTCTCACGTCCAGCTGCAGCTTGTCTCTCGGTCGCCTCCACATGCTCCGCGCGTTGCCTTTTGGCTAGTCCGCTCGCGTCTTCAGTACGCGCCGCTTTTCGTAGCCAGGACCGGTCGTCGTTAGAGAGGTCGGTGCGGATGTAATGTTCCGTATTGTTTTTGCTATACATTTCTATCGAGTTATGCATGGACAATGTGATGTTAGAGCTGCGTGCAAACGCGCGTCGCATAGTGCCGAGTCCACCCTCGTTCCGGTCGTTGGTAGGGTCCATGAACGCAAGAGCTTTCTGATGAGACGATGCAGGTGCAATGACGCCGTCCGCTGCAAATTCGGCAGTGAAAGTGAGCCATTTGTCAAGAGCACCCTCCAAGAAGACCACGAGAGCATTCCTGAGATCCGGAAGTACTGGTTTGAGCTCGTGAACAGCATACACAACATGCGGCTCATGCCAGAGAGTTCCCGAGAGGCATGCGCAAGCAGAAGAATCCAATGCAAGCAGTAGTTCGGGGTCCGCAATGATCTTGCGGATATGTGCGATGACTTCGTCATGGAATGGGCCCAAGTTGAGGTGATTCATATCCGTGCCGTCTCGAGTAGTAGCTGTCATGAACACTTAGTAATGACACGCAGAATAGAGTAGAACCTTGTAGAAGGCGCTGGAAAACGCCTGAAGGTTCTAGGACTTGTAGTGACTCAGGTTATGACTCGACTGTGACTCATAAGGAACATTGTAGAATAGTATAGAACGTTATGGTAGGTACTGGAAGGTTCTAGTACAGTACTTGTATAGTAGTATATAAGACGCTAGCTGAAGTCGATGGACTTCAGCTCGTCCATCTGTTATACACGCCCTTAGCGCTATAACGATTGACGGTTCGGTTACGGCCTTTTAGACTTAAGACTAAGACACCGCTACCTACAACAACCCACCACACTCGACCTAGTGCGTCTAGAGCCCGAACTCTCACGCCTAAGTCACATGACACAGCCTAGACTACAACGACAGACTTTACACCAAGTCTAACTACCACGTACGG